GGATATGCGTGAACTCGTGTGATTGAAGAGAAGATCCACTCCCACACCGTACATCCATTTCTTCACAAAAGAAGCTATTTTAAGAAGAAAAAAAAAGCGATTTTTGTTTTATAAAGGCTGTCGACGTCGAGAAATCCGAATTAGAAATCGGTTTTTCGGAATTTTAGTTGGATTTTTCCACAAAAAAAAAACAAAATTTTTCTATAAAAAAAGAATTTTTTCTTTTGTCGAAAAATTACACCTAAAATTTCGAGAGATCGATTTAGATTTCTCGACTTCAAAACCTTTAGGTCAAACTTTATTTTAAAAAGAAAATCGCTTTTTCTTCCTTTTTAGTGAAAAAAACTACTCTACTTTTACAAAACATCAAAAATACAAGGCTCTTGCGGATTACAATCTTCCGCATAATAATATGTCACATTCAGTTCATTTCGTGTTACGAAACAGCAAACTCGGATTGATCCGAATTTTTTCTTTGGCAATTTGGATACAAGCTGTGTGTTTAGTTCCTTCACCATACAATTTGATGGGTACGCATAATTGACACCAGCAAGCGTTATATGAAATCTCTCGAGACGAGGAAGTTTGATTTGAATTCCATTCTGAGCGATTTGTTTTTCTAACTTGTGAACGAATCGAAATAATTTTTTTTGTGATGATGAATCTGCTATAACAAATAAATAACTACGAACAGTTGACACATCACATGATATGTCATTGAATGTAATTGTAAAACTTTGCCATATGAAATTAGTAAATATATCTTGTATCATTAAGTATTCAGAATAATTATAACATGATAGATAATCTACCGTACAATGAATACTTGTCAAGTTTTGAAAATAGTCAATAGATGAATTTGAACTGGAATTAATAATCAAATTTTGAGCTTGCGCAATTCTAGACATCATCAAATCAGTCGTCATTGGAATGACAGGTGTTAAAACGTATTGAGAATCTGATGGACAGTCGATTTCTGGTGTTAATGTGGATCCTTCAGGTGCCCATGTACAAATTGAAAATGGTTGGTTTTTTGAAATTTGAACTGTTGGATCATAATACAAGACTGATTGATTTTCAGGCACGGCATAAGGTGAAACTCCAGAAGGATCATCAATACATTTATAATCTTAACAAATGAATAGATACGAGTGAAATATTTTCTAGTGATGACAAAAGAGATCTGCATCTTCTGTTCAATTAGTTCCTGATTACTTGTTTGGTGAAATAAATTACCTAGAACCCACAAACAGATCTAAGGAGTTCAAAGTGAAGTTTTTATCACAGAATCTGAATATCCCGAAATTCAAATTTCAAGAAGCACTATCCATTTACTGTAAAAGTAATATGAAACTTCCTAGTTTCAAAGAATTTTATAGGATTGAATGAAGCTGATCTCTGTATCAACTCCGGTTGAACAAGATAAAAATTCAAGAGTAATCGAAAAAGAATTATATCACATTATGAATAATTTTTATCGAATTTCGATGCCTGAGTCTTACAATTTGAAAAATACTAGAAAAATTTTTTCAGGCTTCTTCTGTTACACTTCAAAATGACTAAGCAGCAATGTTTTAGTAAACAATTGTGAGTACTGGAGTAATTCTGTACTCGTCTTTGTTGATAATTTTGAAAATATTTTTCATTATTTCTATATGACAAAGACATACAAGTCTATGAACACAAGTCACATTGACAGAAAGAAGAATAGTTCTAATTATGTCGAAGAAAAGAGCTTTAGTTTTCGGTGTTTTATATATATTAGACATTAACAAAATATCAGATCGAAAATCATAAGATGTGAATACTAGAAGTGTTCATCATATTTGTTCTTTTTTTTACGAAGAACGAGTATAAATAGGTTTAATGGAATCATTGTTTAGACATTAGAAAAAAAAAGAACGTTCAAATGGAAAACACTCGAGATACTATGTTCTTGCTAATATCCATCCATTTTCGATAGTCATTCATTGATCCATACTCTGAATCAAAGAAATGTAGAAATAATCGATACTCTTTTACGATAATTTTCAATATGAATCGACTCGTTGAACGTTTTACTTGAATAAATAAAAAGCTATTATTAATAGAGAAAAGAAAAATATGACTTTAAGTATTTAGATCAAAATTTAAGCAACATCTCGAAATTCAATCAAAATTTTGAAAGTCAACAAATGTATTTTATATCGTTCAATCAAAAATGCATTATTAATTAAAACAAAGATTATACCATTTTCTTTTTTGCAAATTTTTACATTCCATCGGAATGTATTTAAAATTGGTTTCTAAATTATGAAATATAACTCAGAACATTCAAAGTTTGAATTTGAAGAAGAAAAAAAAACGTATTTCCCTTAGCTTGGAACAGATTACTAATATTGAAAAGACTTTTTTTTTCTTGCGAATATAAAATTCCAAACATTAATTTCGAAGCTGAATTAAAAGAATCATATGTTACTTGTTTTAGTTCTGTTTTCGAATCATAGATACAATATGGATTACTTCAGTGAGTTTCATTCCTAAAACATACCTTGTAAGTCGATGTTGGTAGCGTTTCTTTTAAAAAATGATTGAAAAGACTTAAAGGATATGATGACAATAGCAAGTATAACAATTAATAGAAACAGTGCACAGAAATGTTTGAACAAAGTTGACAAAATGCTACGCTGATGCCATGACCTGTAAACCATTAGATAGAAATTTAGTATCGACAAGCTTTAGTAGACAATGCTTACTGTGCTAGAAGTTGACGGTGTTCTTGTTGTGTTTCCGTTTGCATTGATACGCTTTCTTCTTCAGTATTCATCATTACATAATCAGCATTCATGGTGAAAATCGACACTAAAGAAATGATAGACAAAAGAAAAAGTTTGTCGACACAAACTGATAACAAAATTATTAAACAGCTCATGCTTTTCAGATTCACTAATCAGAATTCGTAACACTTTTTACTAATTTTCTTTCATTTATATGTGAGAAGACGATGCACAGATAAATAAAGTGTTGAGAATTCAAACATATCGCAAGATTTTCAGATAGACGATTCCGTTTTACGTCCAAAATCGTCATTTGTTCTTGAAATCAATCGAATATCTCTATTTGTAGTGCTTGCTTAGACCTTTAACCATTTTTTTCTTACTTTGCATAGAATATATGAGAACGAAAAGACGTTTTTGGTTGATTCATATATAAGTGATGCAGAACATTTGGCGCCATTAGCAGTATACAAATACCCGATTGTTTGAAAAGTTAACTAATCGTTTTTTTTCTGGTCACAGATGTATACGAAACTTATACATGGTAAGAAGGAGCAGTCAAAGAAGAATAATAATATGCCACCCGTTTTTCTTGATTCTATTTTACAGCTAGAAAAATGTCGTCAGTGCGAGCAGGACTAAAAAAATTACAATCATTTGAGTTAGACCACATTTTTCTTCATATTATAATTGTGTCTGATGGATTCTTGTCTATAGTCTCCTTAGACACTTCTTTTTATAAATTTTATCGTTAGAGGACCAAAGGAGAAATTCTAACAGGAAGTGTTTCAAGAAAAAAATGATTCTCAACTTTCTCACTGATAAAAAATGTGATACTAAATGTTTAAAACAATTAGATTTTTTTTCTGTTAGAAAAGTCGTAGTTTTCATATTTTTAAGATCCGATCCTCGATGAGAAAAACAGCTTCAATATAAATTAAAGCATACACGCCGAGTAGAAAATGTCTAGCTTATTTTAACGTATCTTTATTATTACGATAATCATATTGCTATAACTTATTTCATAAATAAGGGTGTAGGTGAAAGTATCACAAACGGTAAATCGAATATTGACACTCAAACCTGCATCTACATCCCACACCGTTTTCTGAGAAAAGTTTTTTTTTGCCAACTATTGAATCTTGTTTTTGGCAGGATATTATCTATTTCTTTCTTATTCTACGCTTGTGGGATAAGTGAAATAATACTCGTTTACTAAGGATGTATTGGACAAAAATGAATTGAAATTAATAATTGTTGATGAAACTATAAAAAAAGGTATAACTTTGTTGAGAGGTTTAATAGAAGATCCAAGGACTTCTAGTACGTCAAAGACTTTATCTGTAACTTTTCTGGGTCCACCTGAGCATTAAAATTGTAACTTCCGGAGGCCAATCTGGAAATTATATTTGTAGCTTTTACAGAACTATTGGGACATAACATCAGTAATCTTTTAAGACTTACCTAGGTCTAGTGCTACACCGTTTATTCCAATTTTATATTAAGTTTCGACTGATTACTAAAGTATTAATATTAACTTCCACTATCTATTTTAACGTTCAATTTTTATGAAAATAAGTGATTAAATGGTTGAAGTAAAAGTAATACTATTCTATTTCTAGTTTTTTTGCGCTTAGGAAAAGTTTGTTTTTTTCAAGAAAATAGCTGAATTTTATAAAACTTTACTAAAAGTGTTCAGGCTTGAGAAATCTAAATTTACAGGTGTTTTATAGAAATCTTGAAGTTTAGATCTTTCTGTTTGAAAGAATTAGTTTGCAATAGGTTCAGTTAAGCTTTATAAACTTGCCCTAGGTTATGAAAATAGGTGCTCACTGAACGAAAGAATCGAACTCAAACATGTCGATTAACCAACTCCAAATTTGGATTCATTGACCCTAAAAACCAACGATCAAATCATATAAAGTTCAGCTTTTTTCTCAAAATAGATCACTCCTGATCAAAAAAAAATTGAAATGGAATAGCATCAGGTGTTCTTTAATCACTTAGTTTTGAGTTAATCATGAATTAACAGAAAAACTAATGTAAATGATTCTCTACTAGGCTCAGATACGCCTGAAAACAGTACTAGTAAGATTTTCAGATAAGGGTGCCAAATTTACTCCATTTCGGAAAACAATATATCCCACAAAAACTGTAATGCTGAGTA